CCATTCCGCAACCTTTATGGCGTCCATTAGATGGATCCTACCATTCTTTCAAATACTTGTAGCCGAAGCCTATTGCTGCGCATCAACAGTTTTCTACTTTAATATTATGAACAAATGAAAAGAAAATATTATACATGTCCACCGGATGTATCATTATATTAAATGACTTCTTGAATAATCTTTAGTTTATACCTTTGCAGAATATTTGATTTTTTACCTTATGACTTTTGGATCTTATTGCAGGAAACATTGCATATGCATAACAGAAATAACAAGGAAGAATCATATGATGCACTGGAAGCTTCTTCACATAGATCTGATGAGAAGGAAGAAATGAAAGAAACTGAACAAACTGGGCCACCTTCCAGACTAAGCCTCTTAAGGAATTGGCCCTTAATGTCAACTATAATTGTATATTGTATTTTCTCACTTCATGAGATTGCTTATGCAGAGGTCAGCTTTCTTGTTTTAACTTTGTTTAACTTTATGCATGTTTCATTTATTTGTTTTCTGAATATCCTGCAATAGAATTGAAACCTATTTCTTATTAGATGTGGGTGTTTCATTTATTTGTTTTCTGAATATTCTGCAGTATACTTGAAACTTATTTCTTATCCGATGTGGATAGTTAGTTGTGTAGATCCTCTTCAATCAATTTTTCTATTTTGTCCTTACAAAGATTGCTCTTTATTGAAATATGAATAAATGGTCTAGGCTAACTGCCCAACTTTCTGTCTCTCTCAACCTCATTTGTGCGTCTGTTGTGCTCCTTTAGTTCTACTTTTTCCTTCTTCAATCTATTGATTTGAGAATAAAATCAAACTCAAGTTGGTATCAGAGCACCAGGTGGCACATCTTCGGTTGATTTTGCACCAAATTGATTGTCAACACCATCATTGCTGGACCATGATGTCAACAAGCTGTATGGATGTTGGTGATTCCTGAAGAAAACCCTATATCTTGATCAAGAGTCATTTTAGATGAGTTTAAGCATATTTTTCTCATTTATTTAAAGCCAGTTTGACCTTTTTCATGATTTTTCTTTGAGAAAATCGAGAAAATACAGTTTTTTTGGAATGTGCCACAATCAAGATGAGGACATTTTGGTTTTGGCTGTAGTAATTCAAGTTGATTGATAATTGTGGAGCCATCATAAATGTTACCCCACAATTTGGACCAATATTGAGCAGTTGTGAAGTTTTTTCTTCACTAAGTTCCTAACCCTATTTTTTGGGTTTTTTTGATCTGTACAACATTCAAATCGTTTCTGTTTTGGTATTGGAAATAGTGTGCTTACATCACAATTACTAATGTACAACATTCAGAAGGCTTGAGAGCAATGGTACATTAGTAATTGTGGTCTAAACATTATATTTGTTTTTTGTTATTTCAATTGTGTCCCACCTCATAGGGCAGAAGAGACATTTAATTTTACTTGGAATTCTATTTAAGTACTGGTCGACTGGGGAAGAGTACTTTTAGAGACCTTCAATCTACCATAAAAGTGTTCTTAAGCATGCAGATGTCATTCTTCCTGGGTTTTCTTCTTTATTGGGAGTAGTGTTCTGCTTATTCTTTTATTTATTATTTGTTTCTTCTATAATATATGTACCCTTTTATTATAGGGGTAGTATAGGGAGTAGTGTTCTTCTTTTCTTTTCTTTGTCTGCTTTCTGCATACCAGTCCAAGTGTTGCCTAGGTGACTAGGTGCATTGCTTAAACACCTTGCTTAAGGTGTGTGCCTTATTATATATTGTATATACCAAAGACTGACATGTGCCTTTTTATTATAATATCATTCATATTTCTACATCTTACTGACATGTGCTTTAATACATTCTGCTATATACTTTATATACCATTTGTATTTTGTTTTAAAGTTTTTCTATTGAAATTTAAAAGACCCAATGGTTTTGAGAAGAGAAAAAGAGAGAATGAATAGAAATATAAGGAGGTTTCTATTTTTGTTTTTTGTATTTTCTCTTTCTTACAATAAATGAAACAGCAGCTCTGCCCTTGCTCTATTTTTTTCTTTTTCTTACTCTATATTAAATTTTATGATATAAAATTATAACATTAGTTGCTAACATGATATGAAATTGCTCTATTAAATACTTATATAATAGTATTATTTTTTAAATGAATATATTTTAAACACTATAGTCCTAGATGTGATGATTTGCCATGTTTTGAGAGGAAATTTAATGTTCTTAATAAAGAGAATTGATACTCTTTTTAATTAATATCTATACTATATGATGTGGATAGGTGCCTTGATTTCTATGTAGGCCATAAAAGTTAAACCAGAGTATTTTAATACATCATATTAGATAAGGTTAGTACTTACAAACAACAATTCTCTAATATTCTCCTCTTTAAATTCAATAAATGAGTTACGACATTTAAAAAAGTACAATAAAACATCAAAATCTAAATGTATTTTCATTTTTTTAGCTTTTACCATTTTATTTTTACTTGCACACGTGCATGGCACATGCCCTTTCACTAGTATATGCTGAATGGGAAATAAAACAATGGAACTAGGAGAAACTTAGTATTTTATTTTTTTATGAAATTCTTATCACCTAGGTGTTGCCTGGGTGCCTCATTGTTGCCAAGAATTGCCAAAATGCCTTGACAGCTATGTCTATGGAGTCAGATGCCAATGGTAATTATTAGAGTTCGGCCTACCTGTTAGACTGATAACAGTCAAGGAAAAGAGAGAAGAGAGAAAGAGAGAAAGAGAGAAAGTAGAAGAGTAGAAGAGAGGACAAGGAGGAAAAGGTCTGGTTTGAATGGGAGAAAAGTCAACCCTCCCATTCGGCCAGATCTGTTTTATATTACTAAAAATATTGTGGAAAAGTCACATGTGCCCCTACTTAAGTTAGGGACATTAGATCTAACATAAACTTACACATCAGCANTGTGCCCCTACTTAAGTTAGGGACATTAGATCTAACATAAACTTACACATCAGCACCTAACCATAAGCACAAAGACAGAAATACCCCTACATACTTGACACTAACACTCCCCCTCAAGCTAGAGAGTATATATCATATAATCCCAGCTTGTTACATATATAGTCCACTCTACCCCGACTCAATCCTTTAGTAAACAAATCTGCCCATTGGTTCCCTGTGTTGACATATGCAGTGTCTATCACTCCACTCAGCACTCTCTCTAACAAAGTGACAGTCTACCTCTATGTGCTTGGCTCTCTCATGAAACACTGGATTAGAGGAAATATGAACTGCAACATGATTGCTACAGTAGAGCTTCATCGTAGTATCAATAGTGTATCCCATCTCCTGTAGAAGATTCCTTAGCCACACTAATTCACAAGTAGTATGTGCCATAGCTCTATATTCTGCCTTTGCACTGCTTCTTGCCACAACTGTCTGCTTCTTGCTTTTCCATGTCACCAGATTACCCCCAAGAAAAGTGCAATAGCCTGTGGTAGATCTCCTATTAGATACTGAATCGGCTCAATCAGCATTAGTATATCTTTCTATTTCAAGTTTTCCACCACTTCTGTATATCAAACCACGACTAGGAGCCCCATTTAAATACCTCACAATCCTTAGAACTGCATTGCAATGTGGAACCAGAGGTTTCTGCATGAACTGACTTACCACACTAACTGCGAATGAAATGCCTGGCCGAGTGGTGGTTAGGTAGTTCAGTTTACCTACCAACCGCCGGTATATCTACCAGGGTCTTCAAACACTTCACCCATATCACTGCTCAACTTAGTGTTTGTTTCCATAGGTGTTTAAGCTGGTTTAGCACCTAACAAACCTGTTTTTTCAAGCAAATCAAGAACATATTTCCTCTTACACAAGTTAATACCATGCTTAGACCTTGCTACTTCTATCCCCAAGAAATATTAAAATTTACCAAGGTCCTTTGTCTAAAAATGTTCCTTCAGAAAAGTCTTCAACCTGTCAATGCCCATTTTATCATTTTCGGTAATGACAACATCATCTACATACACCACTAATAGGATCTTCCCTGCCTGAGAGTCATGATTGAAGACTGAATGGTCAACTTGGCACTGTTTCATACCAAACTTCTTTAGCACCTCACTAAATTTGCCAAACCATGCTCGAGGAGACTGTTTAAGCCCATAAATGGCCTTCAGTAGTCGACACACCTTACCATCCTCCCCTTGAGCAACAAACCCCGGTGGTTGCTCCATATAGACCTCCTCGAGCAGATCATCATGCATGAACGCATTCTTGATATCAAGCTGATAGAGGGGCCAATCATACATCGCAGCAAGAGAAACCACAACATGGACTGAACCAATCTTAGCAACTAGGGAGAAAGTTTCTGTGTAATCAATACCATAGGTTTGAGAATACCCTTTGGCAACCAGTCAAGCTTTCAGACGCTCTACACTACCATCAGGTAAGTACTTATCCGTATAAACCCACTTACAACCAACAACTTGCTTACCAGGAGGAAGAGTGGTGAGTTCCCATGTATGATTATGGGCCAAAGCTGAGAGTTCTTCTTCCATCGCATGGCACCATCCTGGAGAGGAAAGGGCTTCCTGGACATCCTTAGGGATAACAACAGAGGATAACAAAGAGATAAACTACGTTTACCTTTCCGCAAGATAATGGGAAGATCAAGATCAGATATTGGGGTTGGGGCCGGTGTGGGAACAGCTATCGGATCTGTCGACGATGATGGAGCTGGAGGAGGAGCCGGTACATATGGGCGATATGCATACACATGATGGATAGGTGGTCGTTCAACAGGTGGTGGCACCGGAGGCAAGGACTTGGTTACAGCTGGAACAAGAGGAACAGAATCCACAACTGGAAGAGAAAGGGAAGAGGTGATGAACAGGAAGAAACATCACCAGACCCCAAGAAAAATGGAGTAGACTCAAAGAAGGTAACATTAGCACACACAAAGGAGCGTCGAGAGCTAGGATGATAACACTTATACCCTTTCTGAGTTCGAGAATAGCCAAGGAAGATGCACTTAATAGATCGGGCATCTAACTTGTCCTTTCCTGGCCCTAGATTATGAACGAAGCAAACACACCCAAAAACCCGAGGAGAAAGAGGAAACGGAGACAAGGTAGGAAACAATGTGGTGAATGGAGAATGACCATCAAGGATAGACGTGGGCATCTGGTTAATCAAGAAGCAAGAAGTAAGCACTGCAACACTCCAAAAAGATTTGGGGACATTCATGTGATGCATGAGGGATTGAGCTGTTTCCAAAAGATGATGGTTCTTTCTCTCAGCCACCCCGTTTTGCTATGGGGTGTAGGTACACTAAGTCTGATGGATAATGCCATGTTGGTCTAGGTATTCTTGAAATGATGAAGAAAAATATTCACGGCCATTATCGGAATGAAAAATTTTAATGTGAACACCAAATTGGTTGCGAATCTCAACATAAAATTTTTGGAAAATGGTAAACGATTCAC